CTTTTAACTTGGTGTTTTAAGATGTTGAATTGGGTTTGTTTTTTTTTTAGATTTTCTAAATAATCATCAGTAGTCTTGACATCAACATGAGTTTGTTTTTTTTTTAGATTTTATTTGTTTTTAGAGAGAGGGGAAGGGAAGGGAGAGAGAGAGGGAGGGAAACATCAATGTGTGGTTGCTGTTCGCATGCCCCCTACTGGGGACCCAGCCTGCAACCCAGGCCTGTGCCCTGACTGGGAATCGAACTGGCGACCCTTTGGTTTGCAGGCCCACGCTCAATCCACTGAGCCACACCAGCCAGGCAAGAAGTTGAATTTTTAATGAGACTTGTCTAAATTTTGTCAGTGTGTGAAAAGTAAATAAAAAATAGAAGCAGTTTTTAACATTAAATTTAACATTTTCTGCGTAATACTCATATATCAAGTGTAGAAAGTACCTTTTTTGCAAAAAGCAGTTGAGGAAAGGAGAAAAAACCTTAAATGTTTTGAATGGAGTAGTCTGATTTAACCCCTTAATTTCTAAAAGAGCAATTTATAATATGGACCTGTACTTTTATTTTACAGTAAATATTGTGTTGTTTCTATGAATGTTTTTTGAGAAGTAAAAGGAGTAATGGTATTTGCAGCCTACTTTTTTACCAAAGTAAGAATGCAAATTTTACTTCTCATTCTGTTTTCACATTTTTCAGACTAATCTTTGTAAAAAGAAGTTTCTTTATTGTCCCCTTCGAGGAAAATAGAGCCAACACCGCCGGTCCCCCACCCCTCAGATAACGAGCTCACCGGTCGCTCTCTGGTGAGCTCCCTCCCGCCCCGCCGCGTCCCCGCCGTGTATGTTCTGCGCGTAACCGGCTTCGTGAGGGTACAGTGTGGTCCGCTTCCCGTCCGGCTCTCTCTCCGTTTTCAGCTGATTTTGCTGGTAGCTGTGCCACCCTCCTGCTGCCGCTGTAACGTGACTCTCTCACGGGCCCAGTGGCAGGGCTCGGGGTTGGACGTCTCCGAGGGGCACCGTGTGCCTGCTCTCGTCACACTCGTAAACTGGAAGAAAACGCTAAGCACAACACTGTGGGTTAACTAGAGTAGCCGGGCACGTGGCTATGACTAATCAGACACATTCTTCACCATTTAAGAAAAGGAAACAGGTTCCCACATGACACTGAGAATAAAAGTTCAAGCCCACCTCCTTCTCCGGTAGGCTGGCATGCAGAAGCAGTGGTTGGACACTCTGGACTTGCTAAGACGACATTAAAGGCTATTTCTAAAGTGTTTTTGTTTAGGTTGAAATCTGTTTAAACTTTATACCAACTTGGGCTTGAGATGCAGTCTTTAGATGCAGGTGATCAGTGCACTTGCAGGCTTTTCAGTGTTTGCTTGCTCTGGGTTCCGTGGGCTCGTCTCAGTGTGTCGTGGTGTTTGCGCGGTTCTCGGGTCCCTGTAAAACCACCGCGGATGAGTTGTGCCCGGTTGAGGAGTTCTGTTAAGGTTCACCGTGTGAAAATCGGTGAAGTGGCCGTTGATCGTCGGCAGACATGTCTGACCACCTTTACAAGCCGAAGGCGTTTTAGATGGTGTTTCTGGGGCCCGCTAGTGCTGGGTCTCTAACTAGTCGACGACCCCAGGCAAGTGGTTTTCGGAGGTGTCAGATGGATACTTACACATCTTGGACTGTGTGTCTCCCGTGACCCGCGCACGTTACCCACCTCCCTTGCCGCAGACGGAGCGCACCCAAGGCTGGAAATGCCCCAGCTCCGCAGTTGAGCCGGGCTGGGACTGGGTTCCAGTTCCAGTGTGGGTGACTCGAGGCCACTGCCGCGTTCCCTGTCGTGGCCCCTGGTTGAGAAGTCTGCCCGCGGGTGAATGGTTTTTCAGACAGTGCTGCAGGGCCCTGTGCAGGCCCTGCGGGAGCTTGGGGGCGGGGTGACATTTCCCTTCAGCTGGCGGCATCGGCGATCCCCTGTGTTTGTTTTACGCATTGGGTTCTGCCTTAACTGCTTTTGGAGAGACTTTCTCTGCCCGTAACATCGGAAGTCTTCTGCCTAGAAACTCGAGAGCTGCCTGGAGTGGATCAGCACTGGAAAATAAAACGTAGGTAATGGCAGTTTGTATTTGTCAGTAGACAGTGTATTTTCTTCTCCTACTGGTGATTTGTATAGTCTGATAGGAAAATAAGGTCGCGGTGATTGAGCACACGATTAGGAGGGTGGGGAGTGACCGGCGGTAAGACTCCACGCAGGCAGTGGGTGAGCTGCCCCCTCCCGCCGGCTCGCGCACCCCGCCCCCAGCTCCTGGTGTGCGGGCGGGCCACCCTGCGCGTGACGTGACGCGATGGCAGGTTGCTCCCGGGGTGCGCCCGCTGACGCGACGCCGGCCCGAGGCCCAGGCCCGGACTGGAGCGGGGTGGCGCTTGTTTCAAGACCGAGCAAGGCACTGGGTTTCAGGAGGCCGCATAGGCTGGCTTTCCCCGAGTGGGACGAGAATGTCGTCTCAGCGCGGAGGTGGGAGTGGGAGGTCAGCAGGGGCGTGTGTGTTTCTTCTCCGGCTGCGGTGCTTCTGGAGCGAGAGACGGGGGACCTAGAATGCGGTGTTGGCGGCGGAAACGGGGACGGGAGAGAGAACCGAGGACGCCCGGTGAACAGTTACCGAGTGCGGTGGGGGGGTGCTGCTTCCCCGGCAGCGACCCCCCGGGAGCGCGGGGCGGGCTCCCGTGTGGCCGCATCGCGCCCGCACGGTCTGCGCGAGTTAGGCCGAGTCCACCCACGTCGGCCCGCACGAGCAGCGTGTTTCGGCCCAACTCCGCTGGTGGCAGTGGTGGGGTGCCCTGGTGGCAGTGGTGGGGTGCCGGGGCTCTTGCCCCGCTGGCTGGAGTCCGGGGGTCAGGGCTCCGGAGCGGCCTCGGGCTGGTGGGCGGGGCCCGGGCCAGCTGGGCCCGCCCCGCCCTCCCCTCTGGCCCCGCCCTCCTCGCTGGCCCCGCCCCACAGGGCCTCTGGCCGCCGCGGCCGGGGCGCCCGGCTCCTGCAGCAGCTGCGGGCGGGGCCTGGGCTCCCAGGGGCTCTCCGGTGGCCGGAGCCCGCAGCCCCTCCTGAGCGCCTCCCACCGCGCCGCCTTCCCGGTGCCGCCACTGCGCACCCACAGCCCGCCCGCCCGCCCCCGCGCCGGCGCGGGCGGCACCAACCGCGGGCAGCACGGGCGGCGGGGCGGTGCAGCGGTGGCGCCCGCCCTGGGAGGCGCAGTTGAGGTGGAGCTCGGGGAGGTGCAGTCCACTCCTCCTGAGACGGAAGAGGCTTCCTTTCGCTGTCTCCGGGGCCGCGCTTCTGAGGAGTGGGCGGGGTGGACGGAGCGGGGCGCTGCCCGCGCGTCCTGACGGCTCCAGCCGGCATGCTCGGGAGCAGAAGCCGTTCCGGAGGGGCCGCTGCCGCCGAGGCCTCTGCTTCTGGGGGAAGGGCTGCGCGCTGCCGGGCTGCCCATGACCGGGAGGTCGCCCTCGGCCTCTCTGTGCTCCTGGAGGGGCGCCTTGCTCACGTGCTTACTGGCCGCTGGGACGAGGAAGAGAAAAGGTACTGGCTTTTCAGAGACCGGGTTGCTGGCCCTGGGAACCGGGGGAGTTGCCAGCGGTGGGGGCCGACGGGTCAGGGACGGGCAGCAACGGAGCCCAGCTCGCAGGGGCGTTTGTTTTGATCTGCGTTGGAGCCTAAGGTCCCGCGAGGACTTGCGCAGTTTTCCACGGACACTTGAGTCCTTGTTGCTGGCTGCAGGGCTGCCTGGCGTGGGGATGCTTCTCCGTTTGCACCTGCAGCGGGGTTCCACCTCGGGGGCTCTGGGAGGTGGTGACAGCAGCAGTCTTGTGAATGTAATGTCTTTGCAAGAAACACGGGCCCCATTTCCCGTGTTTTCGTACTTTGAATAGGATTTTAAATTGTGCTTTTTACAGTGTTTAGAGAATAATAAAGATACATTGTAACATGACCCTGAACTATTGTTAGGTGTGTAACTATTTTGTTTGGCCAGGAAATTAAACAAGAGTGTTTTTGTTGCTTAGTTAGGTCATGTTCAACACAACCTGAGTTTGTTGACTCTCGATTTGATTGGCTGTTTCAGTTTAGTAATTTGAAAGACACTGGTGGCTTAGAATTTTTTTCTCAATTGTTTTGTCACTCAATGAGCAGCATAAAATGGGCCGTGAAACCAGCACAGGCAGGACGTTGGGCAGCGCTAACCCCACTGTTTGACGAGTGACCTAAAGTGCAGGGGTCCCGGCCCGAGGAACCCCCGGGGAGCCTGGGGCGCAGGAGAGAGCGCCCCCGTGCTTTCCTTTTGCGGGGCCGCACGTCTCGTTTGTCCTGGGCTCGTGACGACGGGCGTGGTGATGAGGGGCGCGGTGACGAGGGGCCCAGTGTCAGCCGTGCTGAGCACGGGGGTGGGGGGAGCCCCCGGGGAGGGGGTTGTGCCGGGCTCTCTTCTCTCCGGCTCAGGCCCCTCGGCGTCAGCGCGGCTGGTCCTGTGCCACCTCCGCCCGCGTTCCCGAGTGTCTGCCCAGGGGCGATGCAGCACCAGGCTCCGTCGTCAGCGTGTCCGGTGGGTGGCCAGTGTTGGCTTTCAAAGTGAAATTCTTTGCAGCAGAATAATGATGATAGTTGAGCAAACGTTAAGTTTGAGGCATTAAATTTAATTGTGTGGACATGTGGCTTATGTAGTTATGGGGCTACGCTCAGGCCAGTAGGCTGGGTGGTCTTTTGCCACTGACCCCAAGTCACAGGTAGGTCCTGGGGAGGGGGCTGTCCCATCTTCCGCACGGGCCGAGGTTAGCCGCAGCCGGTCATCCCCGCCAGCCGGCGTCTCTGCCCGGCGGGCCCCACCGTGCCCACGCACGTCTCCAGCAGCAGGGGCGGCCCGGGTCCAAGGAGCTCTTTCCCTGTGGGCCCCGCCCCCAGTGCTGGTGTTGTGTGAGCCTCTCTGGTGCCTTTACTCTGGGTGACTTTCCTTTCCCGGCTTCCCCATTGCCAGCTGCGTCTCATGTGCACTGTGGGATGGAAGTGGATGGAATGATTGGCTTTCTCTGACTGTCCGCCCAGAAACGTGGAGGACGGCGCTGCGTCTGCCCCCTGTCCCCCCTCACCTCTGAGGGGGGCGTCTCAGTGGGAAACCAGGCTGCTACCCAGCTGGTGGTAACATTCTGGGGGAACCCATACTGGGGGAGGGTGCGTGGGGGTGGCCCTTCCGACCGCTCCGATCCCCGGGTGTACCCCTCGAGCAGGTCGCTGGTCATCCTGAGGGTCCGCCAGAGCCCGGGCCCAGGGACTCTCCGGGCCACGCCCACTGCCTGCGGCTCGCACCGCTGACGCGGGCCGGGGAGGAGCAGGCCCAGCAGGGGGCGGAACGCAGAGGGCGGATTAGGGTTGGGGAGTCCAGTCGCCACAGACGTGCTTGAGCTTCAGCCGCTCACACTGTTTCTTCACTGCTCGGGGCCCAGGTGCTGGCTCAGCATTTGTCCCACAGTGCACCCGAGGGTGGCTTGCACTTGTTTGAGGAAGCGAATGCCGATGTGTTCTGGAACATTCTGTAGAGACGTCTCATCCGGTGTGCGACTCCTGGTAATCAGAGTGCACACTTTGTGCAGTTACCTAACCCTGTTTATTTGCCTTTGTTTTGCTTGGTAAAATTTGCATGGAACAAGTATAACTTTTGTAAAACAAGTTGAGACTGTAACTACTGCTCTCCTTCCTCTTTTTATTTTGACGTATGCTTTTGTTACAGAAATGAGCCGCCAGACCGCGACGGCGCTGCCTACTGGGACCTCCAAGTGCACGCCGTCCCAGAGGGTGCCCGCCCTCACCGGCACCACCGCGTCCAACAATGACCTGGCCAGTCTCTTCGAGTGTCCCGTCTGCTTCGACTATGTGCTGCCGCCCATCCTCCAGTGCCAGAGCGGCCACCTGGTCTGCAGCAACTGCCGCCCGAAGCTCACATGCTGCCCCACCTGCCGCGGCCCCTTGGGCTCCATCCGCAACCTGGCGATGGAGAAAGTGGCCAACTCGGTACTCTTCCCTTGTAAGTACGCCTCCTCCGGGTGCGAGGTCACGCTGCCGCACACGGAGAAAGCCGACCACGAGGAGCTCTGCGAGTTCCGGCCCTACTCCTGCCCGTGCCCCGGCGCGTCCTGCAAGTGGCAGGGCTCCTTGGACGCCGTCATGCCGCACCTGATGCACCAGCACAAGTCCATCACCACCCTGCAGGGGGAGGACATCGTCTTCCTGGCCACCGACATCAACCTGCCCGGCGCCGTGGACTGGGTGATGATGCAGTCCTGCTTCGGCTTCCACTTCATGCTCGTGCTGGAGAAGCAGGAGAAGTACGACGGGCACCAGCAGTTCTTCGCCATCGTGCAGCTGATAGGCACGCGCAAGCAGGCCGAGAACTTCGCGTACCGGCTGGAGCTCAACGGCCACAGGCGGCGATTGACTTGGGAAGCCACTCCGCGGTCTATCCACGAGGGGATCGCGACAGCCATCATGAACAGCGACTGTCTAGTCTTCGACACCAGCATCGCACAGCTCTTTGCAGAAAATGGCAATTTAGGCATCAACGTAACTATTTCCATGTGCTGAAACGGCAATCAGACACTTTCTGGCCAGTGTTGAAACCCATCGCATTCAGCTTCACAGAGAACGGGCGAGTCCGCCTGCCGACCGACCGGACTTCGGGCGGGCGGGCGGGGCTGGTCGCGGGAAGGCGAGCGGGAGAGAGGCTGTTAAATCCGGGAGACAGTTGCATGTAGTAACACTAATATATTTAAAATAAGTCAACAGTAAACCACTGAGAAAAAATATATATATATACACCCAAGATGGGCATCTTTTGTATTAAGAAAGGAAGCATTGTAAAATAATTCTGAATTTGTGTTCGTTGTAGATTGAGTGTCCTGTTGGAAATACTGGGTTTTGTTTTTTGTTTCTGCTGGAGTGCATGCGTGGGCGAGTGTGTGAGTGTGTGCGCGTGCATGTGTGTGTGCGCGAACGCATTCGGGTTTTCCTGTAACTGACAAGCCATGTGAGTGGTCGCGGGCCACTGCTTCCCCTCTCTGAGTCGATGCATAGTGCTGCTGTGTGTGTGTGTTGCTCATTTTTATTAATTCTAGTTTTTCATTAAATAAATTTGACTTTCTTTTCTGTAATTCAGGCTTTTCCCAATTTTTTTGTACCTTTTTAAAGTTAGTGTCTTTTTTGATGTGCATAATTGTTTACGGTAAAGTTCATACATGTGTGCTCCATAATATTTTTCTCCCCGTTAATCAGTTAATTAGACATACTTTAAATTCAGTTGTTTTTGTGGAAAGTTCCAGAAAGGAGAGGTGGCGCCGGAAGAATTACCAGAAGCTATTATGAGCAGCTGTAGGAGGGTCGTTCTTTCTTTTTCTCCAGTGGAGTTGGATCTCCAAACTTACTCTCTGAAAGGTTAGAATATACTGATTTTTTTAAAACACTAAAAGAAATAGGCTATTTTTTTTCCAAATATTTTGGACAAATCACATGTTTAAAATTTGTTCTTGTATTTATTGGTTTTGAAAAAGAAGGCATTGTCTTACACAGTATTTGTAATTAAAAGCAAATCATTTGTTTTAAAAAAACGGCAGTTTGCAAAAAAAAAATGTTTGTGGTCTTTTATAATTCTCATTAAAAGAATATCTGGCAAATTGAAGAACTCTGTGTCTGCTTAAGCTCTGAGCTTGATTTAAATCCAGAGTCACTCTCCGCCCGCCCAGCTGTGCTGGGCCGCAGAGCGTGGCCGTCCCAGGTGCGGGGGCTCTGTCCGGAGCAGGCGCCAGGCCTCTGTCTGCACGGCCGGCCTCGCTCTCCCTCTCGCTCACGTTTTGATTCTCACCTTTTTTTTGTCTAAGATCTTACTGACTTTTAGAGAGAGGGGAAGGAAGAGAGAAGGAAACATCCATGTGTGGTTGCCCCTCGCACGCCCCCTACTGGGGACTCTGCCCACAACCCAGGCACGTGCCCCGACTGGGAATCCAGCCGGCTGCCCTCTGGTTCGCAGGCCGGCGCGCAGTCCGTGAGCCGCACCAGCTGGGGCCAATTCTCACAACTCTTAGGAGGCTGATGAGTTAAAACGCCGGTCACTTTTTCTCCTTAAAACACGAAGCCCATAGGAGCCCACATTTCACAGCCTGGGGATTGCGAGCCTGGGCTCAGACGCCAGACTTCCACGGACCTTCACGGCCGTCCCAGCTCGGGTGCGTCTCCCAGCGGGCGACCCCGGGCCCCGGCGTGCACGGGGCTACCTATGGCAGCTGCCTCGAAGGGTTCCCTCAGCTGGGGTAGGGCCCCTCCATCAGCGCTTTGCACGTGATAGGCATCCAGCAGGCGACAGCTGTTCCCACCACGCTGCTAACCAGCACCGTGGAGTAACTAGCACCGTGCAGCCAATGGTTGCCCGCCACCCTGCACAGCCGGTGAGGCGCTGCAGCTGCCTTCTGAATCACCTGAGACCACTTTCCTCTGCGCGGCCTGTACGGCTCCCGGGCCGTGGGAAGCCCGTTGGAACTACCCTGGAGCACGGAGTGCACTTCTGATTCCCATCGTCAGTGAAGGTGACCCTGTCATCTCTCTGCCACGCGAGCCTTGGGCTTGTGACGAAAAGAAACACGCCGGCCGCACACCTGCGTCTAGGTCTGATGGGAAAAGCTGTTTCTCCCCGTCACGGAGCACCAGCGCCCCTCGGCGGTGGGTGTGAACCGCACAGGTGCCTGCTGTGCTGAAGGTGCATTCTCTCCCGGGATTGTATCGTCCTCCGGGCCGTACGCACTTCAGTGGAAGAGTGCAGTTTGTGACGCGTCTGTCGTCTCCGAGGCTTCCGGTAAGCAGGGGGCTCCTAGTGGTTACGCGGGGGGAGTCTGCACCCCGGAGTCTGCGCTGTTGTTCAAAGACCAGCTGTGCTGAGTGGATTTGCAGAGGTGTGTCCTTGTTCTTAATACTTGAAAGAAAAACGTGCTGACAGATGCTGGAGGTTAGAAAATGGCACACACAGCGGAGACGAGTATTTTTATTTTTCCAGTCCTTGACGTGTACTCGCCTGTGCTCTTTGAAATCCTGAGATTTTTGGATCACGTGATTATGTGACCCCCCCCCCTTCGCATTCCCACACACGGTCCCCTAAGCGTTTCATCACTTTAATCTCAGAAAAGCTCCATTTTCGGCAAGTTTTGTGAGGATTAACTTGTTCTAGCCAGTTTCCTGGTTAGATATTTGCTTTGTCCACTTGGTCCAGGTAAATTTTGGGGGGCTACTTATAAATAACCTGTGGACATTTATATGTTTTCCGATATTCTTGGTATTCTTTTATCTTTTTTAAGGTCTTCATACTTTTATCATTGCCTTCTGGAGGTTCCCGTGGACCCAACAGTGGGAAGGATTTTTCATTCGCCTGTAATTGCATATTTTGCTAATTTATGCAAATTAAGGTGGTACATTTTGTGTCTGACAGGTAGTAAGGTTGACGGCTTAATATTTAACTGCATTTTGTCTAAGTTGTTTTCCTATTCTTGGCCTACGGGGGTGAAGAGCTCCCTAGACCTGTATTTTGTGGTCGTTTGAGATTTGATTTATAGTCTTTTTTGTTCTGAAATCACCTTTGCTGGAATCAGTATTCTATTTTCTCCTATTACTGCTCCTGCCCTTTCTTTTTGGTGTCTGGCTTTTGTTTGGGATTGTCGGGGGGAGGGTGGGGATACTCTTTAACTAGGTTCTTTGGCTTTTATAAACTTGGATTTGTTGTTGAATCACGAGCCAGTGTCGTATGTTGACGGCTGCTGGGAACACGCTTTTCTTCTGCTGTGAGGGACTTTGTAACACGTGTGATGTGAAATCTCAGCCCCGTCTCCGCCCGCCCCCCGGAGCTCAGAGCTCTTCCACCCAGAGACATCGGCAGTGACCCTGCTGATGGAGTTCCACTCCCTTCAGCTCCCCGAGCGGGAGAGCAGCCCAGCTGGACAGATGACCGGCTCAGGCTGTGCGGGCCCTGGCCGGTCTGTGCCGGGGCCCGAGGACCTGCCGAGGTCCCGAGAGACAGGCACGGTGCTGTGGAGGCCTGTCGCCAGGGCGCCGCTGGGATATGTGTGTGTGTGTGTGTGTCCCCTCCTTGTGGGCGAGGGCTCACAAAGCCGACAAGGCAGCGGGTGCTGACAGGGTGTGGGGGCGACGGAGGCACTGGAGGTTGTCGCCTGTCGCCTCCAGGTTGAAGCAGTGGGAAAGGCTTGGAGACAGGCAGCGGTGGCGGCTGCGCAGCACTGGGAATGCATGTGTGTCCCCGGGTTAAATGTGGTTAAAGGGGTACATTTTGCTGTTTTGCCGCAATAAAGAGGAACAAGTGAACGCAAAAGCTTAGACGTCTAAAACTAAAAGCAGCACCCGAGGAACGAGGGTTGGAGGTTGGAGGTTGGAGGGCATTCGCAGCGTGGTCTTGGGTCGGCTCCTTCAGAGAGGGAGGCCTGCTCAGGGCTCGGACCCAGGGGGGACACGGGCCCCCTTCCCAGCAGGCTTTGCTGCCAGGCCCGGGGGGGGGGGGGGGAGGCGGGCACCGAGGCAGGAGCCTGGGCGAGGCCCGAGCGCTGTTGCCGGGCCGCACCCACAGTCTCTCTTCTCCCCATGGGGTGGCCGAGCACAGACACCTGTGTCGCCAGAGCGATGAGGTCGCCGGTGCCTGCAGGGTGCCTCCTGCTGGTCACAGCCAGCCCCGGGCTGCAGGGGCCCTCCCAGCGCACGTTCCGATTTCACTGGCAGGTCTTCACGTCACCGGCCGACCCCTTTCTCGTCCACGAGATTCCCACTTGCCCTTGCGGGTCTGTCAGCGCCCACATTGTAAGCTCCTGAGGCCCACCGCTGGCTGGAATGACCGCTAGGGGGCGCTCGGTGGTTTTACGCTGCTTTCCGACCTAACCTTTCCCCTCACACTGACTTGGTGCTGCAATCTGCGTTCTACGGGGCAGGGGGCCTGCCCCCCCAGGGAGCTCCCCAGTGGGACCTGCCCACAGCCCACACGCTGCCCGGGTCGCAGCAGAGGAGAGGCGCGGACAGGCGGCCCAGGCGAACAAGCAGCAGAAGGGGAGGAGGCAGGGGTCAGGGCGGTGGGCGTGGGGACTGTCCTGGGATGGCCGGCGGCCGCCCTGTAGGGACTGGACTTTTTTAAGAAGAGGACGGGCACTCGGGGCTGGCGTGTCTCGGGCGTGTGCTGAGCCGTGCCACCCTGCCGGACTCCTCGGGGTCGTGCGCACCCCCCCGCCCCGGCCCCAGAGGGGTCTGTGCTGGGGGTCGGGGGCCCCTGGTAGAGCCTGGCTCGCCCGGGCACTTCCCTTCCCGCGGAGGCCGATGGCTGGCCTCGTCTCACCTTTGCCCGGGTCCCTTCCCAGTTGACTGTTGTCCAGACTCAGCGTCCACAGGGGCATCACTAAGGTAACTGCTGCCTGTACCAACCGCCCTCGACCTTGACTGTGCATCTGAGTGGGATCAGTGGGACTGGAAAGCTGATGTTTCCGGCAAGGTCTCAGGTAGCGCGGGGGCTCCCGGCGTGGCCCACGCTGTGCACCAGCGCTCGTGACCTTCCCGGGGGCAGGAACGACCCCGTGAAAGATGAGAGGAGGGTTCGGTTTGCATCACTTTATTAAATCTCCACTTCTGTAACAAAAACCAGCCTCCCCGGGAGTGAGGTGCGTGACCGCTGCGACTCTGTTCGCGCACGAAGGGGGGTCTGCCCGCCCGGGCAGGCGTGGGGGGGCCTCGTCGGCACCTCTGGGCGCCGACCCCCGGACTCCCGGGGCGCCGGGCTCTGCGCCTACAGCTTGCTGTTTACCAGGGGGCCGCTCGTGGCCGCGAAGCCGCCGTCGAAGGCCGCGTTCAGGACGTCGTCCAGGCAGCTGGCGGTGACGAAGCTCAGGTCCTGGCGCACGTTGGCCGGGATCTCCTCCAGGTCCTTCTCGTTCCTCTGCGGGAGGATGACCCGCTTCAGGCCAGCCCGGTGCGCTGCCAGCACCTTGTCCTTGATGCCGCCCACCTGTGCGAGAGAGGGGAGCACATGGGTCACGCGGGCTGCAGCCGCCCGCGCTGCCGTTTCCCGGGCAGCCTCCACCTCGTTACACCACGCGCTAGGAAGACACCAAAGAGGTAAGCGTGCAGTGAGCCCATTTCCACTGGTGCGACGTCAAATCCTGTCAACGGGGGAAGAGTCTGAATTTCTCACGGGTGGCCCCATTCCTGTCCCTGATTTCGCTTCGGTGCTGCCAAGGTCTGCGTGGACGGTCCAGCCTGCAGTCACGGCAGGCTGACCCTTCGGACCAGACACAAGACGGGGGGTGTCCATTTCCCCCCTCCGTCACCAGAGCACCGGGGTCCCGGCCACAGCAGTCAGACCAGGAGACGTGAAAGGCACCGAGTCGGAAAGGAGGAAGCAGAACGCTCACCACTTGCGGGTGACACGATCCTGCGCACACAGAGCCCCGAAGGTCCCGCCAAAAACTGCCAGAACTGACCAGTGAATCCGGGAAGTAGCGGGGCACAAAATTAATGTCTAAGTTGCGTTTTTATACACCAATAATGAGCCGTCAGAAAGGGAGACTAAGAAAGCAATCCCACTGACAACGGCATCGAAGTAGTAAACACGTGAAAAAGCAACCCTAGGAACAAATTAGCCGAGGACAC